TCTATGAAACCTGATGTACTTATATGATTCTGTTTTCTTAAAGGTTGTATCTTCCTGGTCGAATGCACTTATTGTAAGTCGCTTTGGATAAAAGCGTCAGCTAAATGCAATGTAATGTAATGTAATGTAATGTGTCCCCTCTGTGGAAAGAGACTCTGAAAGTTTCAGGAACAAAGATTCTCTCTCTTTTTATCCTGATCCATTTCTATAAAAACCTGATCAGATTTTGGCCACTTTATGATGTCATAACGATGTTTTGGCTTGTGTAACCATTAGCCAATCAGCAACCAAGGTAACCCCCCCTCCTTGTTTTCATCTAAAGTAACAGACAGAGAATCAGCACTTTTGAAACAGGGCTGAAACAGAGGGGATTATGGGTAATGCTGCAATGATCTGTTTGGTGTTTGGAGCCAATCAGGGACAGGCTCTGGATATATCTGAGACCTGATGAAAAACAGTATAATAGGGGAACTTTAAGATGGAACAGTCTTTACTCATGTTTCCTTTTCTTCTTCTGTGTTTTCAGGATGAAAATGCGGCGGCACAGGGTGTTCTTGCTGTGCACGGTGGGGCTGTGCGTCATCTCCTTCCTGCATTACTACAAGGCCCTCCATTACGTGTCCCTGCTGCGAGAGCTCTCCGCCCCCTACCCCAACATCAAGTCCTTCATCATGGTCACCGGCTTCTTCTGGAGGGAGAAGGGCGTGGGCAGCACCCCGATTAGCCCCGCCTCCCCAGAAGAGGCCCCGCCCCTTCCCATCCTCCGCCAATCGGACACCAAAGCCAGAGCGGTGGCGGGCGATGGAGGCGTTGGAGGACTGGGGGTCGGGGGGGTCGTGGTGGGAGGAGATGGGATCATTGGTAATGCAGGGCTGGAGGTGAGGTTGAGGGACGAGCCGGCACCCCCTCACCCCTGGGAGAAACCAGAAGAGAACCAGCGGGGGGACAATCCCAGTGATGTGAGTGAAACATTATGAACATTTAAGAATTTAAAGTTTTTCCTTGGTTTACATATTCGTTTACAAATGTAGACATTTATGTTACCCTAATCCCCTTCTCTCTTCTTGGTCTTTCCTCCCAGGAGAGAGCTGAAGACGAATAAGGTTTATTGGTGCAATATATTCTTCCAATTGCCCAATCCTAGTTAGCATAATTCGAATTTCAATGCCCAACTGTCTAGTTTTTCCTTGGTTTACCTATCTGTTTATCAATGTCAACAAAATATAGATATTTATGTAGACAAGCGTCTTTGAGCACTAGGAAAAGCACTATAAAAATCAAATGTATTATTATTATTATAAGTTACCCTAAAATTATAACGATACAATACGATAATACTTTGTTGGTCAAATCAAGTCTGAAATGCTCCTTGCATCACAGCAGCTCCATGTGTAACATTAACATAGACAGATATCAAGACACAATACTTGAAAAACAAACATTTAACATAACAGCAGGATCAGTGAGAGAAAAGCTGCTCAAAGAGCCTTCAGCGTGCATCTGATCTGCATTCAGCTCTGTGTTCACTGAGAGGACAGACTGGAGCACAGAGGATGCTTCAGGCTGACTTCATTCAATCTCCATCAGATGGTAGCAGTTCAGATTCTCTGTTAGAGCATGCTTTGGGTCCCGGGTGATGTTGTTGTAATCCCCGTCTATTCTTGGTCTGTCCTCCAGGAGAGAGCTGAAGACCACTTGAAACCCAGAAACCCGAGTCACCCTGCAGGCCCTGACCTCCCGGAGAACCTCCTGGTGGGGAAGCTGCACAAGGACAAAAAACGGATGCCCGACCCCTTAAAATTATTGGGAGACCTCCACACCCGCAATCACCAGCTCCTCAATGACAGAACAGCTTTCTTTGTCCGAACCAAAGCCGGAGCCTTTTGTTTTAGGCAGGGAACAGAGGTGGCTACCCAAAAGGAATACTCTGGGAAAACTGGGGGGGTTGTGGCTAACGGAGCAGGGGAAGGTAATCGAAATGCTGGGCAAAGGAAGCCTCTGGAGGTCCAGCAGCAGCCCTCCATGAATCCTAAAGCAAAGACCAGAGCCAGAGGGAATGGGAAGCGTCTGGTGAAGTGTGTGTGTCGGCCGGGGTGGCACGGGCCGTACTGCGGGGTTCCCACCATGGTGTACCACTCCAACCTGCCCACCAAGGAGCGGCTGACGCCCAGAGAAACCCCGCGGAGGGTCATCAACGCCATCAACGTGAACCACGAGTTCGACCTGCTGCACGTACGCTTTCACGAGCTCTCACAGGCAGTCGATCTCTTCCTCGTCTGTGAATCCAACTTCACTGCATACGGAGAGAAACGGCCTCTGAGGTAAGACTTATTCATGTCTTAATGTGTGCATATGTATAGATGTGTCTGTTGATTGTGTATTTATAGGTATATACATTTTTTATATACATTTGTATACATATTTGTATTTTGTAATCGGGATCGGGGGAAACGGTATTTCGATTTCTCTGTCTGTACACACAAGTTGACTTTGACTTTGAAGACACCACTCTCGTGTGTGTGTGGAGGTTATTCAAGCCTCCATGGTCAAGATGTTTAATGTGTAACTGAGCTGCTTCATGGCCATCAGAAGGTGACTCTTTGTGGCAGTAAAACCTTGTAGAATGGCGTGCATGCTGAGCAAACTTCACGGTTTATTACAGACAAGTGTGACACTTGTATCACAGCGCAGTGAAGTTAACTGTGTAAATATTAGGGAAGCAACGATATACCGAATATCGCGGTATTGCGATAAATAAACGTCCCAATACCGTCGTGAGACAGACAGAATCTACCGCGATTAAAAAAAAAAATATTACATTTAAAAATGTTAAACACTTTTTTTTTTTTTTTAAACCTTTATTTAACCAGATGGTCCCATTGAGATCATCAATCTCTTTTTCAAGAGAGACCTGTCCAACATTGCAGCAAGCAGGTTACAACATGAACATGAAACAACAGATAACACAAAAGGAAAAGGTATTTCCAGGGCTACATGTACACACCTAGAGACATTGACATGTACCAACAGTATATGTATAAATCTCGCCCTGTCAATAAGCCTCTCCTTCTTGGCAACAACTGTATTGTTTTTGTAGTGGTGGAGAGGCAATGCACAGTTTGACCCACTGCTGCCAACAGGCCTACTTTGTTTGGGAGTACTAGTAACCTAGGTACAAAAACAATGGTTTTCTTGTTCCAGTCTGTTACTGTCAATTTGTTTTTGACACTTTAAAATACTGCTATCCAACTAAAATGCTGTACAAATCAGATTTATTATTTAATAAAGAACATTTTTACGAGTGAAAAATTGTTCAATTAAAAATGTTTTCTTTATTATTCAATATCCCGATAAATACCGTACCGTGGACTTGTTATCACGATATTATCGTACCGTGAGTTTTTGGTATCGTTACATCCCTAATAAATATCATATAATATAATCATGTCATCATCACGTCTTAAAAGTAAGGTTGCCTGATGGATTGTGTGAGCATGTTTGCAGTGTAGTGGTTGGTAATACAATCTTAAATCCCTTCCAACACTGCAACTTAAAATACACTAAAGACATAAGAGAAATAAGGAAGTAAAGCAGTGCATGTCAAGTAGGGCAAATTAACTATATAAAAAACAACATTATGACTAATGTACAAGAGAAGTCTGTCTGATAGATCCTTATTTAAGCGTGTTTGGTTACATGCGGGTGAACCACAAACATTCTTGATCTATTTATCATACAATAAAACAGGCGAGATAATCTTCAACCACCACCAGGAAGACTTTTGAAAAGAAAGCAAGTTGTATAGGAATACAGTGGCTAGAAAACTGGCAAATTTCCTGTATTTTTTCATTTAGCTTAATATATACAGTATATCACAGAAAAATCCCAATGTCAGTTTTTTCCGATATCGAGCAACACTCCTTATCATATGTTACTTTATTTAAATCACCAATTATGCTCCGTTTCCACATTCATCATATAATGAATTGGACAGAGTCACAGAAGTGTTTGCCAACTTTCGACATGATGCATTGAGTAGTAATCGTTTACAGCGTTCAGTTCTTGTTTACAGCCAACCTTCATGCTTCTCCAGTATCAGTGTGCGGAATAACAATTACAGCGATGATCCTTTGGCAACAGCACCCAAATGCCTCGGGAGCAATTTTACAGCAGATTATGACAAGAGCGACATGATTGACTCTGTGTGCGGCCTCGGCGAAGAAGATTGGTGTGTTCAATCATAGAATGTGACACCGCATGAGAGTGGTAACGGTCAGTGAGCAGTCTCCCTCGATATGCATATCAACAGGTTAATGGAGTCGTTCTTCCATTAGGATCGGTGTATGGACACGGGGTCTCTGTTCTGAAAGGCCTCCTTTGTAAAACAAGAACTCCTTGTTGCCTGTGGTTCTCTTTCTGAGCTTCAGGTCTTTGCCAATACTAATGCATGTTACACTTTGTTGGATATGCTTGCTTTGTTGTTCCATGCGGCATCAGTTTCTACAGTATGAGGGGGAAAGTAAATAATCTGACTTTTGAAACTTGCTTGAGTCGTTGAATCCCTTACGGTGAACATGAAGTCTCTGTTACTTCATGTTATAGTCATGTAAGGGTTGCATGGTTGTGAATTTGAAAATGATTTAGTAAGGTTTACAATGTTTAACACAGAAGCCAGGTAGGTAGGGGTGTCTGCACGTAAAGAAACTCCAAATGGACTAACAATGATTTAGCAATTAGTTGATTTAATCGACAGATATCTAGGAATCATACAAAAGCACCATTATAAATCTAGTTTTTTTATAAAGGTTTGACATTCAACATGAAAAAGCATGTAAAAATACATATATAAATATATATATAAAATAATGTATTATATTACATTATTGCCTCTGCATTGGATTGTTATTGGATCGGGTAATAACTTCAAAATTAACTACGTCTGAAAGCAGAAGACTGGGGCAAATAATTGCAAGTCTCTTCAGTGAGAATGTCACAAAAATGATTTAAAAAGAAAAGCCAAATTCTGGAATACAAGTCACAATCGAAAAACAGAATTGACATTTAAAAGAAAAGTAATATTTAAAAAAGAAAGTCTAATTTGAGATGCATTGTGGGACATGTAGTTTATGGGCAACGTGCTTCTGTAAATCATCATGTAACCGTATAACAAACATATTATATTCTTTGCAAGCTCTTGTGGGGCCACAGAAAATGAAGTCACGGACCGTATTTGGCCCCCGGGCCTTGAGTTTGACACCCCTGAACTAGAGGGACTAACCCTAATTGTATGGATTCTTGAAATCCAAAGAAATTCTTAGTTTTCGTTCGTTAGTTAATGTTTTAGGACGTGCATTTTTTACATGATCCTTTTTCACCCCCTTTCCCTTGGTAGAATCACAAACTGTCAATCATTGGAATAGCTTGAAACCAATCCCTACGGTGCACCTGCTTCCTCTTACATGAGTTTGTAAAGAATGCAATCAAAATGTTATTTTGTAGCACCACTTGTGGTTTAAAACTCCACAGGGTACCTTTTAAATAAATGCAGTAAGAAGTCCTTATTAACGATGTGATTGGTTACACTTGCATTGTTGATCTCCAGCAAGTGTCAAGAGTCTACTGACAAATGTCTAACCCTTCTGGAACAAAAATGGCTATCTAGAACGGAAGGGATTCAACCAAAACATTGGAATACATCCTAAATTACAACAAACACATTAATGGCACTTTAAGAGAATCCACTAAATGTCGTCTAATATGATTTCCCCCCAGTTTCCTGCGGCTCCTGCTCAACGGTACGTACGACTATATTCGTCACAAGATCCTGTACGTGTTCCTCGATCACTTCCCAGAGGGCGGTCGGCAGGACGGCTGGATCGCGGACGACTACCTGCGAACCTACCTGACGCACAACGGCCTGTCCAGGGTGTCGGGTCTAAGATCGGACGACGTCTTCGTCATCAACGACGCAGATGAGATCCCAGCACGAGAGGGCCTCCTCTTCCTCAAGCTGTTCGATGGCTGGACGGAGCCTTTCGCCATCCATATGCGCAAGGTAACAACGTAACAACTCAGTGCTTTATGGGGTTAGATTTGTCTCCATAATATTTGTGTTAACATAAAAATGATTTGTGTTTAAATGTGTGATTTGTGAATGGAAAACACAATCCACAAATGCATTCAAAAGATTTGCAAACCCCCCAGAAAAATGTGCAAATGTAAAACGGATCTGCAAATACGCAAAATATTTTCACAAATAAAAGATCTGTGAATACTATAATTAGTTTACAAATAAACAAAAGGAATGTGTGAATCTCTCTCTAACATTGACAACTTTCGATCAGATCTCAGATCTCTGCTTGTGGATCGTCTTTTCACACACACAGAGTTTTGAGACAAACTTTCCGCCGGTCTCGACTAAAATCTACTACTTATTGAGAGAAATCTAACCCCGTAGTGTTTGTTTTTCACCAGGAGGGCAAAGAATATGGGGTCTCCAGGAAATTAGGTTGTGGAGTTGGCAAGATATGGATGTGTGTGTCCCGGTTAGAGTTAAGATGGATTATTCAAGCTGTGTGAACTCTGTGGTCTGTAACAGTAAAACAAACAAAGGAACATATCAAGATTACAAACAATTACAGTACGATTGACTTTACACAATCAAGTGAAATACCAAAAGATTTAGGACGAAACATAATAAAACCCACAAAACAGATGTTGAAAAAAGAAAACCTAGTGTGGTACTCGTGTGTGAGCACATATATTATTATATTTAGGCCGATAGTTATAACACTGGACCATTCCTCTTTCATGTACGGTGCAATTAGGGACCAGTTCCTAACGAACTCATCCAGAGTTCTTTTAACACGTGTGATAACCTCACCAATGGCAAAATGGACATCAGCTTTTCAAACCATAATAAGATATTGGGCGGATCTTCAATCAACCAATTCCAAGAATGTGCCTGTCTTCGTTCATCATTTGACAAGTTGGATTTAGGTTGAAAGGTCTCCTATCATGCAAAATGCACTTTTTGACGTCTTTTATACATAAATATGTGTCCCCGGTGCGTCAGGAGACTCACGAAGTGTCAGAAAACAAAACCTTCTCTCTTTTCCTCCGTACCCAAATCTCTAAAAATGACAGAATGGGTGATCTGTTTGGTATTTTGAGCAAAACACCTCATAGACATGTTTGTTATATATCTGAGACCTATAATATATGGTTACAATCAGTAGACCTTTAATATCTATTTATGTGTCTCTGTTCATAATTCCTGGTTCTTCTCCTCCCACTTCCAGTCGCTGTATGGATTTTTCTGGAAGCAGTTTGGCTCTCTGGAGGTGGTGTCCGGCTGCACGGTGGGGATGCTCCGAGACGTCTACGATGGCGACGGTATCAAGCTCCGCCGCCGCGAGTACTACACCATGCCGGGTTTCCGCAAGTACGAGAACGACACGGGCCACATCCTGGTGCAGTGGTCGGTGGGAAGCCCCTTCCACTTCGCCGGCTGGCACTGCTCCTGGTGCTTCAGGCCCGAGGGCATCTTCTTCAAGCTGGTGTCGGCTCAGAACGGAGACTTCCCGCGGTGGGGGGACTACGAGGACAAACGTGACCTCAACTACATCCGGGATCTGATCCGGACGGGGGGCTGGTTCGATGGCTCCCTTCAGGAATACCCCCCTGTGGACGCCAAAGAGCACATGTACGCCCCAAAGTATATGCTGGAGCACTATGAACGGTACCGCTACCTCCTGGAGAACCCTTACAGCAAAGCGTCCGAGGGCTAGGAGTTCTGCAAGGATAGAATATGTGACGTAACTAGTAGGACCCGAATGAGGCCTCGGCACTGAGTTTTGGGGGGCGAAACGGTATTGAAGAACTACACCTCTCATTGGAGGGATACTACATGTTCACCAGGCAGCACTGATGTTGCAATCTCTTAAAAAAATTATTTTGGGGTGAAAAAAGGGATCACTGAACCGCATCGTCCTTGGATTCACAGAGAGGTCTCTGAGAGGATACAACCACTGGATAAAGAACATCATAGATTTCCTCATCCCTCCCTTTTTTGGGGGAGGAGCCAAGCTGTCTCTCTTTCTGTCACCCCGTCCTCTCTTTCTTCCCCCGAGCTGATTGGTCGTTTGGAAGTAAAGAGAGATATATTACAGAGCCGAGTGGAGAAACTTGGAAATTGTTTTTTTTCTGTCTGTGTTTACTAAAGTTTACGGCTGATGTTCCCACTTCTTTCTCCCACTTCAGACGTCTTCCTGTCATATTTGGTGACCTCCTTCTAGAAACAGACATGTTTTGCGTTATTCTTTGGTCTCAGTAGATAAGTATAAATTCCATCACACCCCGCTGGAGAACCCACTGCCAAACGGAAGGAATGAATCGATGGAAATGTCTCAATGTCCACATGCACCTTGTGTGTTTGAAAGTGTGTGTGTGTGTGTGTGGTGGTCTATCTTTGTGTCATACTGCGTGGTATACCGCCTGTGAATGAGGGGGGGGAGGTGGGGAGGCAGCGAGATGGGGAAACAGGAGGCGGGAAAGCAAGTAATGAGCAGCGATGAAAGGGAAAGAAAAGGAGGCTCTCTCTCTCGACGCTTTCCCACAGTATCTGCTGACGCACCAGTGTGGCAGGGACGAGTGATCTGAATGTGCGTGTGTGTACGCTCTGAATAAATCATACCCCGTCGATGGCATATGAGACGGATGAAACTCGCCGTCATTGTTTGTCCGATGAGAGGAATCGAGAAAGACAAGATGACCCTTCAGCTTCGTCTTTCTGCGACTGCGATGACTTAGTTCCCTTGGAAACTAAAGCGGAGTGTGTGAGACGTGTTTTGAGATAAGTGGGTGGGTGCTCTTCGGGCAACGTTCAAACGAGGTCAACACCGACCGAGAATCCCCGTAGTTTAATATTCCTCTCTCTGCTCGACGCCCACTCTCTGAAACAGACACTTCCTTTCTGCTTTCGTGCTGCTAAGTGTCCTCTTTCTTCTTCCTCTAGTGTTGGTTTCCTCCTAATCCCATAACAAGGCCTCTTTTCTCTCTTCAATTCAGTTATTACATTACATGTCATCAAGCGGACACTTCTATCCCAAGCTACTTACTTGCACTTCAATACTGTAGACTCCCGGTGCTATTTTAGACTCTTTGACCCGCTGTATATCGAACCACTGACCCTCCGATAGGTAGACACACATTTACCCCCTGAGCCACAGCCAACCTCTCTCTCTACATTTGTGACCCGGCCGTTGAAATCAGGCAGACGTCGCTCCGGCTAGTTTGCGGGATAGTTGTGGATTTATGTCTGAAAGTTATGTTTTGGTCCTTGTTAGGGTTAGGGTTAGGGTTAGGGTTAGGGTTACACCTTATGTCTCCCTAAAGTAATGAGTGACAGACTCCTAGTAACCTGGCAGTGTACGAGACAGTTTCCATCTGATTATAAATAAAAACAAAGTCTTGGCTCTCAGGATATTCAATTATTAACTCCCAAATGTAGACGATAAATATTGTGTTGACGCTTGTCGGCGGTACGATGGCGAGCAACTTATCAGCAGAGGCATTACTACAGGCGGTGTGTTGTGTGTGTGGAAAATACTCACACACTCCAACACCAACTTTCTACGCCCAACCTTTCCTCATCGAAATAAAAAAAATCCTCGTCGTCAATGCTAATGAGTTCGCCTGATCAGTACGATGGATCTCCGTCATCCATCCGCTGTCTATTGAGCTTTCTACGGAGAGATAGTCTGCGAAAAAGCTTTTTTTTAAAGACAAACAAAAATGACTCATAGCTAATCCAGTCGTGGTCCTAAAGAGGGGGGCAGGACTAATGCCCCAACATATCAGGCTTTGAGCCCCCTCATTGGCAAAAAGTCATCTGCTAACACTGAAGGCTTCTTTTCCCAGAGTCGTGACAGTCGTCTTGTTTTGTGAAACAATTTGCTGTATATTTGGAGAACACCAAAAGGATATAATTTGAAAGCTAAGAAGCTCCTCCATCTAACAGTGTATATAACTCCGCCTCTATGTCAACTCCTTCCCTCCAGACCGGTATCTCCTCCCTCTTAATCCTCCGAAGAATTTCAATAATAGGGATATATTTACATTCTTCCAGACCTCATTTCTATCCCGTGTCTCGACGGGACAGGAAGTAACCCTAGCAGTGCCACAGATCTCGACCATCTGAACGTGTAGCCTCACTCTCTCCCTGCTGCAGACGTCTGTCCATGTGGCTGCTGCCTGAATCCCCGCCCCACATTGTTTGGCAGAAGTTTATGAATCAATTTGGCGAGCATACTTCTCTTTGTGGGTGTTTCGTGTGGGCTGGATGTACTTGTCAAGGGTGAAAGAGTCAGAAGAGTATGAAACAAACTGAAATGCAGATTGACTGCGTCCACCATCTGCTTCTCCACCTCACGTCTGTGCTTTGGTGTTATTGTTTACCGCGGCTTCAGGCGTTTCAAAGCGAACTGTGCCTCTAGAGGAAAGACTGTTTGGAGTAAGGGAAGTTTTCTGCAAGGCGAGGATAGGATTTAATCTGTTTAGACGTTAGAAGCTTTAGTTTTACTTGAAAGAGCCTTAACATTAACATTTTACCTGTTCCTCTTTACTTTAAGTGTCCTTGAGCCACATCCTCCTTACTCATCCAGTCCTTCTTCACAACCTTAACATGAAACCAACATGCATGATAAGTCCTTCTATTCGAAACCGGTTAACAAGCCGAGATTTTTGCAAACTAGATTAAAGATTTGAAGATGCTGTCAAAGAAAATCTGGAGACCAAGAATCCCCCGACAACGCCACACACAATATACTCAAAACTTAAAAGAAATACGGTTCAACGTTAGTTTATTTGTATAGCACATTTTAAGACACAGAGGCAATTAGAAGTGCTTCACATTTAACACAAGATAATTAAACCAAACAAACACACAAGGCGGTAAAACAGTGCAAGTGTGAGCATATTGGCGTAAAGCTTGGTTTCCACGCTGTCTCCCGTGGACGGGAGCTCGTATTTGGAAAGCAGATTACCCAGCAGGCAGCAGCTGTTCGGGGTTTGTGTTGTTGGTGTCGGGAGCCAAACTCCCGTCCAAACCCACAGGGGCTGCAGAGATACCAGCTTTAAATAGGATTTGACACCAAAAGACAAAGGAGGCGCAAACAATGGAGGTGTTTATAAATGAGATGTATTTGTGTGACTTTCAAAAAGGTATTGATTGATGGAACAAAACCATAGAAGGAAGAAGGAGAAGTGAACTTTTGGCAATGTGGATAATGTCAGGGATGTCAAATCATGAATTCAGGCAGTTGTGAGCAATCGTAGATGAAACCACTTCGTGTTTGGGGTGATTTCGTGGCCATGCTTTGGAATTTGAAAGAAAAGTAGCTTGAAATACGCAAACATATCATTCATAGAGTCAGGTCTCAGCAACATGAAACTGACCAAAGTATTTAATCACACAAACAAAACCTCCCTCTGACTTCAGGTCTCACCATGTGCAGACCTTGATCTTTGCAATATGTTGCTACGTGTTTAAAAAGGTTTATGACTAAGCCTTATCTCAGAGATGTTTAATCCCACCAAGGCCAGGGAGTGTCAGCAGAGAGGTATGTAATAAGAGCTGCCTCCCACCTCTCTGCTGCAGGGTGAGTGAGTGAGTGCATTTTCTTAATAGTTTGCGTATTACACAGTCATGGTGACTCAGGCCAGAGCAGGCTGTCCGGCCCGCTGAAAGATGTTACTTCACTCGGCCTGTTGCCACGTTATCATCATGGCAACGATCCCATTGGTCGACTTCTGAGATCCCAAACAGCCGGAGGTCATCAGACAGCAGGCCGAAGGGTGAAATGTGAGAAAGAGCAGAGCGAGGATGAGGGAGGGAAATCACAAAAACAGATTTTCTCTAAATTGTACAACTCACAACTTGAGTTTAGTTTAAAGAAATGGCAAAACATAGGGAAATATTCAAGCTGTAGCTAGACCGCACCTACATGTAGCTGACTTATCGCAGCAAGAAGGCAAAATGAGGAAAGGAGCAGGGAAAATAAACAGCAACAATATTATTTCAAATGTTGAGCCAGGAATGAAACATCGATGAAAGAGTTTTGGCCGTAAACCAGATCAAGGAGTGGCAAAAGTCTACGATCGATGAACAGACTGATGTATCCAAAAAGAGGTATTTTGTAAATAATCCATCCTTCGCTGGAATACGCGGAAAAAGAAAAGGAAATGCTCATCATTAAGTTCAAAAAGATGTACGATCCAACGACAGTTAAAACACAGTTGAATGATGATTGGAGCGATGTGAGCACCTCATGATGGACATCGAAAAGAGACCTGAATGTAGGGTTAATGAACGCTGACTGCAATCCAGAAAAATACCTTTTATTAGATGTTATCCGTACATCGCCGTTCTTGTCCTATTGTTTGAAAAGTGGTTAGGACATAGGGAGAGGAGGGAGGAAACAATCAGGACCTAACCACCTTTGATTGGTCACTAGGATAAGGTAAAGTCATCTTGGCGTTGAATCAGAAACGTCCAACCAGATGAGTTCAGTTCAAACTAAAAACTGTTCACCATGTTATGGATCCAAAGGCCTGACAACGTCTTGCTCAAGGACACTTCAGTAGATTGTAACCTCAGCAGACGTCACAGGCGGTCTTGACTGGTGGCCTGGTGCCTGCTTTGGCTTATTGATCGGACAAAGAATCAATAAAGCGATGACACATGGGAAAGGAAATATCTGCAGCCTCTAAACACACCCTGTGAGACCGGCCTGAGCTGCGTTGCTAGGAAACAGATCTGGGATGTCTTTATTACCGGTTATTGATATTACCAATAACCTGCAAGGTCAGCGTTTGAAACTGAAGATGTAGATGTTGTCTAAAGACATATTCACAGTGTGTGCCACGGCATCTAGAGAACTGAGGCACGAACACATTTACTTGCAATTTACAGGACAACACAAACACATTATAAAATGACATTTACTTAAAAATAAATAAAGGTATGAAGCACGGATGTCGAAGCGTATTCAAAGAGACTTGATCCTACACTCATTAACGTATTTTGCTTCACCTTCCCTTCTTGGTAGTTGTTGGCATCTTTTAAACCCCAAACGACAATGTATTACGCACTTTTTTTTAATTATTAATCTATACTCTTTAAGCCCCTTGAGTAGAACCACATATAGTTAACAGATAAATATCGTTAAGACCTGAAGATACAGACGATTGTCTTACAGGATTACTGACGACGTTTACATTTTTTTTTTTAAATTAGGTTTTCAACACCATTCTGACAATATTGCTACTAAACTGTTAACATGGGTAATACAAATTAGTATTCCCCTTTAAATGAAGAACACAAAATAATATATTTACACATTTCTCCACATGTGGTGGACTTGTTGGACTGCAAACACATCCTCCATTTTTCCTTTCATTTGACCAACTTTGTGGAAAGGTTAAGCGATGATCGCACACATCTAAAACACCTGTTGATATCGAAGCCTTTTCTGGCTCATTTTCTTGGGCATCTCTACCTACGCCTTGCAAACGGTTTGATAGTTAATGTGTTTTGAATGCACAGAGCTGAACACGTGTCTCAAAATGCAGTAAAAACCCCATTTAGATGCACATTGTGAATGTCCTGCATACATGTTCAATGAAGGCTCCCAAGCACTGAATATTATCGGCATATCCCACGTGTCTTAACATAAAAACCCTACAAAATAAGGCGTGGTTCTGAATATCTAAACCGCTTGCATGACCCTCATCAAATGATATTAGTGAGGTCTTGTTTGTATATTAGTGTGCATGTAAACGTAGCCATTAGCAGCCTTGAAACCCCCCATTATTGGCCCTACCCTCTTTTCTGCACAAACTAACCATGCACACATGCATTGAGCACGTGTGTTTATCCTGCACAGATGTGTGTCTCCAGGGCTGCCCCCCCTCCCACAATCACCCCCCCCCCCC